ATTCCATAGACTGTAGTAAATGTTTACTGAAAGCCGAGCAAGTGCTCAGTCCGGGAGTCCAGAGCCGTGAGAGGCTGGGGTATGGTGGAGACCGGATGCTGGGGGCTTTGAGGGCCTCTCCCAGGGATCTTTCACCATGGAGTGTGGACTGGTAGGGGCTTAGGAGGAAGGCCCTGGCAGTGATGCCCCCAGAGGGGTCGGCATCCTGACTTAGGGACAGGAATTGGGGACAGTCCAGAGACTTCCAACAGGACTGGCCTGGCCAGGGAGGACAAGAGTCTGGGATGATATAAATGGGTCACAGGGCTGGAGAGATGGCTCAGTGGTTATGAGATTACTGCCTTGTCGAGGATGGAATCTGAGTCTCAGCACCCACATCAGGCAGCTCACAACCGCCTGTAACTCTAGCTCCAGGGGATCTAACTTCCTCTTCAGACACCCTCACACATGCATATGTGTTCCAGAGAGAGAGAGATTAGTGTGTGCACACAATTAAAAATAAGTATTAAAAAAAAAAAACTGGCCTGGCAGTGGTGGCGCACGCCTTTAATCCCAGCACTCAGGAGGCAGAGGCAGGTGGATCTCTGTGAGTCTGAGGCCAGCCTGGTCTACAGAGTGAGTTCCAGGACTGCTGGGGATACACAGAGAAACCCTGTCTTGAAGAAAAAAAGAGGTCATAGATGGGAACAACGAAGGGTCTGAGGATGTGATTATTTGGTAGAGTGTTTGCCTGCATGAAGCCCTGGGTTATTTGATAGAGTGCCTGGTTGCATGAAGCCCTGGGTTTCATCTCCAGGACCAAATAAACCAGCCATGGCCTGGCCCTTGAGAAGCGGAAGATCAGGAATTCAAAGTCATCCTTTAACTACATAGCAAGTTCGAGGCTAGCCTGGGCTACCTGAGAGAACCTGTCTCAAAAACACAAAAACTCCACGTGACATCACTGAGAGGCGTCGCTCTTTGAACGGCTCGCTGGTGGACTGCCAGGGTGGAGGTGGAAGCGGTGCCAGCCCTGCTAAGAAGTGAGGTGGGGAAGGTGAAGGTCAGAGGTTAAGAAGGTGGCTGGAAGGTCCCCAGCCCGGAGGAAAGGAGGGGACAAGAGAAGGGTGGGTCTCAGCAAGACCCAGGAAGAGGATTGGTGGGGTTGTAAACAAGAAAGGTCAGAGTAAGTAATATGATTTGCTGCCCCCCATCACCATCTCAGCAGTTTGAGCCCCAAATAGTTTTCCTTGTTTTTTTGTTTTTTGGGGGGTTTTTTTTTGGCTTTTTGAGACAGGGTTTCTCTGTGTAGTTTTGGCGCCTGTCCTGGATCTCACTCTGTAGACCAGGCTGCCCTCAAACCCACAAAGATCCACCTGGCTCTGCCTCCCGAGTCCTGGGATTAAAGGCATGAGCCACCACTGCTCGGCATGATCCCCCAAATCTTAATAGCATTATGAGGGTGGGAACTTACCTATGTGTTCAGAGGTGGAGCCTTTGGGGGGTGATTAGGTCATTAGGATGAGACCACTCCAATTGAACCCTGGTGGCTTTATAAGGAGGAGAGAGACCACAGTATGATGGGTACACATCCCTACCATGTGGGGCAGCCTGGGGTGGGGGGGACTCTCACCATGCTGCTAGAACGTCAGTCTCCACAAGTGTAAACCAAATAAACCTTATAACGAAGTCTCAGGCTCTGGTAAACTGCAGAAGTCTGACCAAGGTGTTAGGATGTTGGCTATGAAATTTTCACAGTAGACTGCGACCACGTAGGCCATGAGTGACGGGGACAGTGAGGAGCCAGTGACTGGACATGCTGGCCACACCAACTCCGAGACTGTATGATTGGGGGAGAATATACTGTATTCCTTCATTATGTGTGCCAAGAATTGGTGTTCAAAGACAGGCTGGCTGAGCCTCTAGAAAAAGTACAGGGGCCAGAAAGATGGCTCAGCGACTAAAGAGCCCGAGCACCCCGAGTCCACACGGTGGAAGTAGAGAACTGACTCCTGCAAGTTGTCCTCTGACCTCCACGTGTGAGTTGTGGCACACACCACCACCCCCACTAGATAAATAAAAGTGTAATTAAACTTTTCTAAGTAAAGGAAGTAACTTGCCAGGACTAACCAACTCCAGGCAGACAGCCCAGGTAGCAATGCAGCGCACTGCGGAGAGCCCCTGCATCCGGACCTGAACCTCCTTCCTTGTGTGTAAGTCTTCATCAGCTCCCTGGGACCCTCCAACTGCCGGGGCTCTCCTTTCACCATGACGTCATGGCGCCCTTCATTCTAGGGACAAAGTAAACCAACGTTAAGTGCCAGTGCCTATGTTTGGTTAGCAAAATGTCTCCTAAGAGGACTGGTAATTACAGTTGGCATTTCATTTTTGCCCAGGCATGCCAGATAATTGTGCTGGCGGTGGAGGAGCCTTGCAGCCTGGGCCTGGAAAGTCCTCCTCCAAAGCCAGGGCTCCTAATAACCGCAATAAGCAAAAACCCCCGTGTCAAAAGAATGTCATCCATGATGCAACGGCTGGAGTTTACCAAATGTCTCCTTCCTGTTTTCATTTGCTCAAACTTGAGGTCTGCCAGTCGCCTGATAGTTGCCTTGAGATTAAGTGGAGCTGGGGCAGGAGCAGCTGGTGGGTCAGCCCCAGGAAGGAGCGATTGACTTCCCCTGCTCCGCGACTCAAGTTGAAACTGATATCAACAACATCCTTACTCTCCCAGTTGTCAGGAAACCTGGACACGAGTGGAATTTTTCCTTCCTTTGGGTAAATGTGTCACAGCCCAATGCTGTTGCGACAGATGGAAAAATCCTATAGAGAGCGCGCAGCAGCAGCCTGCCAAGCAAATAGGAAGCCCTCTGAGGGGACACGAGGCACCCACCTGGGTGCTGGTGCGCACCCTTCTTGTTTCTCAGTTACCTAGTGTGCACTTCCTGCTGAGACCGTTCCTGTTTGAGTTTCTCGGTTGTAAAACCCCAGACTTCCCCAGCAGGGACAGGAGGGGGGTGACGACAGCAGGGAGTGGAAGGGCGTGCCCCACCGCGGCGTCCGAACGACCCTTCTCTGCCATCCATGAAGTGCCCAGAGCTCAGCAGTCAGTGCATGTCCCTTACACGGGCACTGTCTGGTCCTCACGCTTCCTGCTGGAATCAGGAGCCCCCGGGGGACCACAGTAGCTCTGTGCATGGTGTCCCAGCACAACCTGGGTAAACCAGGATGTAGCCAAGCTGAGCCTTCCTTGCACCCCTCTTCCCGCTCTGCAGTGTTCTCGCCCTGTCCCCACCTCTCCATGCTGCCAGCGACAGATGCTGGGCACCCCCTGGTGTCACTCTGCTAGGAGCGGCGCTCTCCCACGCTCTGACCCACCCACCTGGGCCCCACGGGGATGACAGCACTTTGCTGGGGCGAAGACCCCCTAGATCTTGGAGGAGAGGTATGTCCCCACCCAGCTCTTCAGGTCACATGGTCCGCGGCGGGACCCACGGGTGGGTCACGTGACGGCGGCGCACCGTTGCCTAGGCAGCGGCTGCGGGCGGAAAGAGGGAGGGGGCCGGTCCTCCGCCCTGGCCGGGCCGCAGGGCCACCCGGCCGCAACACAGACGCCAGCCACGGGGCAGGAGCTGGGAGCTGGAGCCAAGCACGGAGGGCTTGGGAGCCAGGGTGAGTGCCGGGGCGGTGGAGGGGACGTTCATCCTTCTTTTGTCTCGGGAGAGTCCGAAGGGGACAGGAGAGGGTCCCAGCTAGGGCGCGCGGAGGAACTGGATCAGGGACACTGAACGGGGAGGAGACGGAGCTTCTTAGTGGGCAGGCATAGGATGGAGGGGAAGGGACAGGATGACCGAGGGGCAGAGGGCTGGCCTCGTGACCCTAATCCCTTGATACCCTTATAGGGTGCAGTGTCAGGGGACTCGCAGCTCGGGGCTGCCAGCTGATTCTCAGGTCCTGCAGTTGCAGGGACTTCCCTAAAGTAAGGGGCAGGGATGCAGGTGGCTGATTCTGGCAGGCTGCTGCACCTCTCAGGCGCGCGGGGGACGACAGACATTTCCCGTGCCCCAGATGTTTAGAGGAAGTTAAAACAGGCCGACTCCAGAGCCTGCTGCCTGGACCGCTTCAAACACACCTGACGAGAGAATGCTTGTCTAGCAGTCTCCCCGTGTTTCCCTACAAGACCTCATCTTTCTCCTGGTCTTTATTAAAAAAAAAAAAAAAAAAAAAAAAAAAAGCTTCAGACTGCCTGGCAATTCTTCAAGCTGGTGTTGTCTGACAGAAATGTGGGCTCCATCTTGTCTCAGCGCTCCCCCTCCAGCCTGAGCTCGCAGTGTGCAGGCCAGACTCTGCCCCTCCCCATGGGGCAAGGGTTGGACCAAGATAGGCCCCAGGAGTATAAGGAATGGATTTGAGGTGGGGCCGACGGTACTGTGCCTGTGATCCCAGTACTCAGGAGATGAGGCAGGACAGTCCCAAGTTCCAAGTCAGCCTGGGCTACACAGCAAACCTCAAAACAAAGCCAACAGGAGAAAGGGGGTCACGTGGGAGCTGTAGACGGAACTCAATTAGAGACTATTTGCCTAGCATGCAGGAAGCCCTGAGTTCAGTCCCCAGCGCCATGTAAACCAAGCATGTAATTGTGGCACTTGGAGACGGAGACAGGAGCACCCAGAGTTCAGGGCTATCCTTGGTTACATTTTGGGTTGGAAGCCAACTTGGGCTATATGAGACCCTATTTCAAAAAAAAAAAAGTAAGAAGGAAAAGGGGAAAAATGGATTTAAACCTCCTGGGCTAATCACAGTGGAGGGTGGCTCAACATAGGACCTGCAGGTCTGTCTCGAGACTGGGCTGGAGGCAGGCAGCTCTTCATGCCCACCCCTCACCACCCTGGGGCTACCAAGCTCAGCCACTCTCTGACTGGAGCCTGGGACTCCCTCAGTTGTGGTCCCCTGGGTAACCGTCTTCTTTGCCTCATGGATCTTTCCCATCCTTTGATCCCCTGGGACTGGAGTCATAGATGGTAGTGAGTGACCACGTGGGTGCTGGGAATGGGACCTAGGTCCTCTGGAAGAGCAGCCAGTGCTCTGCATGGCCGAGTCGTCCATCCAGCCCCTCCACAAGTCATTTCCCTGGGTGAAAGGTAGTCTATCCCAAAGAGATGTGGAAGTAACTATTGACAGTGACTATTCCCATCCCCATCTCCCACCATGACCCCAGGCCCTAGCATTGCTGGAGAAAGTCCACTATAGCCCTACTGTCTATCCACAATTAGCCCTGTACTGCTGCCCCAGGCCCCAAGAGTTTTCCATCTCCTTGTCCTTCAAGCAACCAACCTTCCTGCCTCACCCTCTGGAGGATGGTAGCCTTCCTAAACATGGCTTCATCTTCCTGCCTCTCAGAACCCTCCATGCGGGCAGCATTTTGTCTTGGATGGAGGACCTGGTTTGGGTTTTGTTTTTTTTGCTTGAGATTTTATTCTTTATTTTTGCTTATACATGTGTGTCTGTGTGGGGACATGCGCACATGAGTGCAGGTGCCTTTGGAGGCCACTAGGGGCATCAGACCTCTTAGAGCTGGACTTACGGGTGGTTGTAAGCCTTCTGACTTAAATACTGAAAAGCTAACTCTGGTCCCCTGCAGGAGTAGTATATGCTTTTACCCGCTGACCTGTCTCTCCAATGCCCAAAGGGTCTGTCTATGCCGCATGCATCGTCTTTTCTACCCATGTGTGTCCACCCTAACATGCGTCTATACGTGACAAGCAGCCAGCCCTTCTGTTTCCCCTCTGACCGCTGAAGCAGGTAGCTGACTGGATAAGAGTGTTTCCCGCTTGTCTGGCTCCCCTTTGGGGCAGTGGGTTCTTTGAAGATAGAGATTCATTCTCTTGTGGGGTTGTTCTTTGCTTTGGTTTTTCACCTCATCCTGTGTGGGTTGGTCCTGGAAACCTGACTGGAGAAAAGGGAATGAAGGGACAGACACAGAGATCCAGGTACAGGAAAGCTGGGGTTAGGCAGGCCGTGCTCACTCTGACAGAGCAGTACCAACTGCGCAGCAGCCTGGACCCTTGGTGAGTTTATTATGTACGCACAGGAGAGGGGTTTGTCTCAGTAGGATGTCTCTATAGGGGTGCAGCCACATGTATCTCTGCCCGCTACCTTAGGGAAGTTCCTAAAGCTGCAGGACCTGGGAAGTGACTGGCAGCCCCAACCTGACACTACCCCCTACCCAGGGTATCAAGGGTGGGGTCACCTGGCCACCTCCCAGGTCGCAGTCATCCTGGAGAAGGAAGCTGCAGTTGCCGGTTTTTGCACCCTAGTTAGTCATTTGTAAACACTCTACTTGGTCCAGAGAAAGGCATGACCATGCCTCTGAGCTTCACCTGGAGGAAGGTTTTGCCAATTCCCACGGGTCGGAGGCCATGGCCCTTGTCAATAAAGTGTGTTCACTCAGGACTTCATCAACTCCTTACACACTCACTCAAGGCTTCCTTAGCTCCCCACAATTTTTGTTTGTTTGAGTTTTGTTTTTATTTTGAGACAGGGTCTCCCACAGCCCAGACTGAGCTTGAATAGTTGGCCTTGAACTCCTAATCTCCCTGCCTGCACCTCCCCAGTGCTGGGATTTTGAGTGTGCATCATTCTATCCAGTTTTATGCCATGCTGGGGATCCAGCCCCTCACTGGGGGACTCTAGGCAGGTGCTCTACCACTGAGCCACACCCCAGCCCCTCACTGGGGGGTTCTAGGCAGGTGCTCTCCCACTGAGCCACACCCCAGCCCCTCACTGGGGGATTCTAGGCAGGTGCTCTACCACTGAGCCCTCCTTCATCTTTGATGTGTAAGAACAGCTGTGTGAGCCGGGCAGTGGTGGCGCACGCCTTTAATCCCAGCACTCGGGAGGCAGAGCCAGGCGGATCTCTGTGAGTTCGAGGCCAGCCTGGGCTACCAAGTGAGTTCCAGGAAAGGCGCAAAGCTACACAGAGAAACCCTGTCTCGAAAAACCAAAAAAAAAAAAAAAAAAAAAAAAAAGAACAGCTGTGTGAGCATCCATTGGGTACTGGGGAGCAAGGGTTGCTTTTTACAGCTCTCTCTGTACTATTTCCTCCAGACTTCAGGCTTTGTTCTGTGCTGTATTGGGGGCGGGGTTCATTTCCAAATTGTGACATGTTCAGTCATTCGGAGCTAACCCATGGAGTGGTGAGGAGGGTTTGTCTGAATCTCCTCCAAGGGAGGAGACATCCTTGAGGAGGTAATTGGCCACAGTGCTGCCAGCTTGTGGGGGACCAGTCCCCCCACATTTATTTATTTACCCCAGGACTCTTGAGGAATGGGGATAAGAGACTCAGTCAGAGAAACAGAGAGAAAACACAGGATGACCTCGGGTGGGCCTGGATCCTTATCCAGCAGCCCAGAACTTTATTCCAAAGGTCTATTTATAACAGTGCCAAGGGGTGGAGCAAAGGACCGCCCCCTTGCTAGGTACAAAACACCTGCACTCAGGCCCGTGGTCCAATCATCCTCTGTGCAGACCTGTTGGGTAAAGCCACTAGGAAACCTGAAAATGGGCTCCCACACTAGCTGCAGGTGTGGGTGACATGTGACCCTAGTCCTCAAGTTGTCATTCCTATAAACGGGCCCAGAAGGCAGGTGTGGTGGCACCGGCCTGTCATCCCAGCACTCAGGGGCAGAGATGGGCAGGTCTTTGTGGTCTACATAGCAAGAGAGGCTAGGCTAACCAGAATTAGTCTCTTACACACATGTACAAAAACAACAAGAAGTAAATGGAGTCACTTGCTGGTCCCTAGAGAGACAGGAACGCAGAACTGTTCCCTGAGGACCCTTTTGGTTGGCCAGGAATAGCCGAGGCTCTTTGGCTTGCCTAAGAACAAGGAGGAAGACAGAGGGACCCTTCCCAACTCCTCTCTTCCTGTGTGGTCCTTTTAGATATTGACATGGGGGGGGCACGTCCATCACTGCTGACCCTCACAGACACCCCAGCATCTCATGGAACCCTGGACTCCTGTCCTAATTGTTTCTTATCCTCTCTCTCTCTCTTTCTTTCGCTGTTTTCTCTCTTTTAAGTTACATTGTATTTATTTTGGTTTATGCCACAGCGCTCCTGTCAGGATCAGAGGACAACTTGCAGGAGTCAGTGTGTGGGGGCTCCAGGGGATCGAACTCTGGTCCCTGAGTTGGTGGCAAGCACCTTTCTCCATGGAGCCACCTCACTGGCACGTGTTCTTTCTTTTCCCCCCTCCCTCCTTCCCACCCTGTCTTCTCTCTCTCTCTCTCTCTCTCTCTCTCTCTCTCTCTCTCTCTCTCTCTCTCTCTCTCTCTCCCCCTCCCTCCCTCCCTCCCTCTCCCTCTCCCTCTCTCTCTCACTCTGCAGTCCACACTGGTCTGAAGCTCTCACACTTCCTGACTCAGCCTCCATGCCGGGATGACAAGGCTGTACCACAGCCCGCCTGGCTGTGCTCTAACACCCTTAGGCTTTCCGTGGGGCCCGCTGGCTCTGAACACAAGAGTTATTGTCTGATGCCCAGCCAGCCCCATCGTGCCTCTGCCCTTCAGGCTTGTCCTCAGGAGATTACCCAGCTGGATCCCACCTGGAGTGCACTGCCACAGGCTACCCTGAGTGAAAGGGACTAGGCTGCCAAGACTCACTTAGAATTAGTGGGGATTTGGGTTAGAGTCATACATCTTTTTTTTTGTAAGATTTATTTTTATTATTTTAATTATGTGTATGTTGTGGGGGGGTGTATGCATATGAATGCGAGTGCCCACAGAGGTCAGACTCCCCCCGGCTTACAGGCAGTTGTAAACCGCCTGTTGTGGGTGCTAGGAGTCGAACTCGGGTCCTTAGGAGGAGCAGTGTGTGCTCTTAACCACTGTGCCATCTCTCCAGCCCGTGTCATACATCTTAACAGATCACACCCGAGCTTCATTCCGTGCTATTGCGCGACCCAAAATCTGCTAGGAATGAGCCTAGAGACCTCTGATCTGTGTGTCTCTTTAAAGCATGCAGGGTATGGTGGTGCACACACACACCTTTAACCCCAGCACTCAGGAGACAGAGGCAGGCAGATCTCCGTGAGTTTGACTGAAGCCAGCCTGGGCTACAGAGTGAGTTCAGGACAGCTGGGAACATCAAGAGACACTGTCAAAATCACGCATGCTCACGTCAGTTGATGGATTCTCTCTCTTTTCCCCACTCCCTCCTTCCTCCACCCCTTCCCCCCACTTTTGATTTTTGAGACAGGGTCTCGCTGTGTAACCCTGGCCGGGCTCCTCTTAAAACACGGTTCTTGTACATTTCTTTGTTTTGTGTACATGTAAAACTGCACATCCCATAGGGCATGTGCGGAAGTCAGAAGACAGCTTGTGGGAATGTGTTCTCTCCTCCCATAAAGTAGATTCCAGGAATCAAACTCAGGTCATCCATCAGGCTTAGTGTCAGGGCTGCTGAGCTGTCCCTCCAGCCCTCCCTCTGCCACTGATACGGGGGTCTCCCGTGCAGTCCAGTTCAGGTGCTAAAGAGATGGCTCCGGGGCTGGAGAGATGGCTCAGTTAATAAGAGGACTTGCTACGAAAGCAAGAGGACCCCAGTTCAAATCCCCAGGGCCGATCTAAAAGCTGGTCATGAGCACCTGCCTGTAATCCCAGCATTTCGGGGCAGAGGGAGTGACCTGGGAACTTGAGAACCTGTCTCAAAAATTAAGGTGAAAAACAATACAGGAAGTCACCTGATGCCCCCCCCCCCACACACACACGTGCATGCACATACACACATGTGCATACACACACACACACATAAACATGCACATGTGCACACACACACACGTGCACATACACACACATACACACACAACCATACTTCATGGCACAGCATGGCCGTCAACTTTATATCCTCCTGCCTCAACCCACTCTCATTTTTCCTTTTGCTAAAGGTTTCCATTGCAGCCTGGGTGTGGCTCAACTTAGAAAGTAACTATAGGTTTGGGAGGTGACTTACCATGTTTAAGATTAGATTTGAGAAGCTAGTAGTGCCGGGCCCCACCCTCACAGTGCAAGTAGTTTTAGGTCTTCAGGGACATTGTGTTCAAGCGTCCAGCAAGTAGCTGGATCTGGTGGGCAGGCCTGCAATCCCATGTACTACAGAAGCTGAGGCAGGAGGATCAACCTGAGTAACTTACCAAAACTGTCTCAAAATAAAAGGTGGTGGGTTGTTGTTGTTGTTGTTGTTTTTAAGTAAAAAAGGGAGCAGAGGGGGCTGGAGAGATGGTTCAGTGAAGAGCCCTGGCTGCTCTTCCAGAGGGTCTGGTTTGATTCTCAGCACCCATATGGCAGCTTACAGCCATCTGGCCTCTTCTGGCCTCCGTGGGTGCCATGTATACACATGATGCACAGATACATGTGCTAGCAAACACTCGTGAGAAAGGGAGAGAGACAGACAGACAGACAGAGAGAGAGAGACAGACAGAGAGAGAGAGGAGAGTTTGAGCAGAAAGTATAACTCATGCTTGCTTAGACTCCCCCAGTGAGGGCTGGGGTGTACATAGGCCCCCAGTGAGGGCTGAGGCATCACTTAGTGTAGAGCACTTGTTTAGAATCTACCAGTAATCGATGTGGATTCTGGGCAGCGCCCTACCGCAGAGCCCCTTCCCCACCACCAACCCCTAGCTCTTTCTGAATGTGACAGTTCCCTGTTCCCTGAAGACAATGCCAGTCGGAGGGGTCATGGGTACGTTCTGTCAACCTTTACATTCTAGTCATGCCAATAGGCTCTGTCCTGGGTATCGGGAGGGAGGGAGGTGGATCCAACTTTACGGAGAACAGCTTGGCCATGGTGGGGCCCGGCACTGCATGTCTGACCCTCCTCTTCTGCAGACGGCCCTGTGTTCTTTCTTGCCGACTGCCTTAGAGACCAGGGCCCCCCACACAAGCTACCTTTAGAACCCACGCCTCTACACATGCATAGTGGTGTAGACCTAGAATTCCAGCACTCGAGACACCGAGACAGGGCCATGAGTCTGAGGCCAGCCTAGCCTGCACAGGGAGTCATTATCTGGAAACAGAACCCAGGGCTGGGGAAAGACTCAGTCACAAAGTGCTCGCCATGTGAGCACGAAGGCCTGAGTCCGGTTCCCAGCACCCACGGAAAGCTATGCAAGACAGCATGTGCCTGTGATCCCTGGGCTGGGGAGGTGGAGGCAGGAGGATCTGTGGGGCTAGACGGACAGCCAATTTAGCCAAATTGGTGAACTCCGGATACAATGAGTGGCCCCTTCTCAAAAAAAAAAAAAAGGTTGAAGAGTGATTGAAGACACCCAGTGTCAGCTGTGGCTTTTGTATGCATGTACCACACTCATTCACTTGTACACACACTAACAAATGCACAAGGACACATATGCACACGCTTTAGGTTTGGGGTGTGTGTGTGTGTTTTTTTGTTTGTTTGTTTGGTTTGTTTTTTTGATTTGGGTTTTGGTATTTTTTTTTTTTTTTTTGAGATTTATTTTATTATGTCTAGGATGTTCTGCCTGCATGTTGCCTGCAGGCCTGAAGAGGGCACCAGATCTCATAGATGGTTGTGAGCCACCATGTGGTTGCTGGGAATTGAACTCAGGACCTCTGGAAGAGCAGCCAGTGCTTTTAACCTCTGAGCCATCTCTCCAGCCCCGGGTTTTGGTTTTTTGAGACAGGGTTTCTCTGTGCAGCCCTGGCTGTCCTGGAACTCACTCTGTAGACCAGGCTGGCCTCGAACTCGGATATCCTCCTGCCTCTGCCTCCCAAGTGCTGGGATTAAAGGTGTACACCACTGCCACTCAGCTAACAAATAAATCTTTTTTTTTCTTAAAAAGGTAGACAAAATTAAAAACAAAACATGGGGCTGGTAAGAGGTCCCAGCATCAAGAATGCTTGGTTCAACTCATAGAGACAGAAAGATTAGATGTTATCTCAAGATGGAGAAGAAAGGAATATAGAGTAATGATTTCCTAAGTACAGAATCTCTGTTGTGTGTGATGGAAAAGCCCCACAAACGGATAGTAGTATCAGGATATAATATCATGAATGTAATAAATCAATACAATTAATGAATATCATAAATATAGTTATTGAATGAAAAAAAAAAGAATGCTTGCTGTTCAATCATGAGGAATGGAGTTCAGATCTCAGCCCCGACCTAACGTGTGTCTGTAGCCGCAGCTTTGTGGAAGGCAGAGCCAGAAGGAACACTGGGGCTTGCGGGATTCCAGGTTAGCAGAGAGAAGGCGAACCCTTAATTCAAAAAGAGACCCTCCAAGGAATAGACAGAGTGACAGAGAAGGACACCCCATGCCCTCTTCTGGTTTTGGCACAAGAACGACCAAAGATGCTCCAACCTGTCATGTCTCTCCCTCCCCCAGCCTGGTTCCCACCATGAGTGCAGAGCTCAATGTGCCCATGGACCCCTCCAACCCTGCCTGCCCTGAGCCCGGCCACAAGGGCATGGATTACCGAGACTGGGTCCGACGCAGCTACCTGGAACTGGTCACCTCCAACCACCATTCGGTGCAGGCGCTGTCCTGGAGAAAGCTGTACCTGAGCAGGGCCAAGCTGAAAGCCTCCAGCCGGACCTCCGCCCTCCTCTCCGGCTTCGCCATGGTGAGTGCAGGGAGCAGAAGGGGGTGGTGGGGGAGACGGACAAACAGACCGTCTGCAGTGGGGTGGGTGGGTAGGGGGACGGGCCCACAGTGGAAGGAGAGATCTGGGTACGGAAGGTCATCCTCTGACCTCCACGGCACGTGTGGACCTGCACTCAGACATACACATTGGACACACACACACACACACACACACACACACACACACACACACACACACACACTAAATTAAAAGCAAAGGGGGGGGCGGGCAGAGATGGCTCAGCAGTTTCAGCTTTTGTGGTACACACGTGAGGACCAGGGTTCAGATCCCAGAAACCCATGTAAATGTGGGCGAGCGTGGTGGCCGTCAATAATTACAGCCTCAGGAGGCAGAGACGGAGGAGATCCTCGGAGCAAACTGGCTAGCAGGACTGGCCATGTTGGTGAGCTCTGGGTTTGATTGAGAGACCCTGCCTCAATGTGCACCAGGAGACCAGGAGAGGGCGTCAGATGTTGTTGTCCATCACCTGGGTGGAAAGGCAGACCTTTGAGGCAGGGTCTCTCCCCAAACCCGGGGCTGGAGTTCTCTCTGCTAGACTGGAGTGCAGCTTTAACATGGGTGTCGGAATCCAACAGAAGTCCTCAGGATTGAAAGGAGAACATTCTCTTAACTGCTGAGCCATTTCTCAGCCCCTAAAACTACAGCCTGGCGCGTGCCAGACCATTGCCCTGACGCTGGTTATTCTCCCAGTGCGTTTATTGTCTTCCCCCTGGGGTCTCATCACGCTGAGGACGTATCTCGGTGAGCAGAGTGCCTGCCTAGCACACACAAAGCCCCAGCCCTGCACAAAAAACCAGGCGTGGGGGAACACACCTGTCATCCCAGCACTCGGGAGGTGGAGGCCAGAGGATCACAAGTTCAAAGTCACCCTCAGCTACGCGGTGAATTCAGGGCTAGTTCGACCTACCATCAGACCATGCTTCAGGAGGAAAAAAAAAATACAGCAGTTGTCAGGTGTGGTGTCGGTGTGTAGCCTCAAATTCACGATCCTCCTGCCTCAGCCTCCTGATCGCTCTGCCAAGCTGTACGTTGGCTCCACAGTTTGCGTGACTAGAATGTAAAGGTTGACAGAACGTACCCATGACCCCTCCGACTGGCATTGTCTTCAGGGAACAGGGAACTGTCACATTCAGAAAGAACTAGGGGTCGGCAGTGGGGAAGGGGCTCTGCGGTAGGGCGCTGCCCAGCACGCACAAGGTATGGGGTCACGCACCTGTCATCCCAGCACTAGCCAGGCAGGAGCAGAAGGGTTGAGAGTTCAAGGCCCTGACTAGCTTGGAACTTTGTAGACCAGGCTGACCTTGAACTCACAGAGACCCACCTGCCTCTGCCTCCTGAGTGCGGGATTAAAGGCTGCGCCACCCCATTAGACTTCCGAGCTCAGTTTTAAGGCGTGTGTGAGACAGATGCTGCTGGTACAGCTGGGACTGTTCTCTCCCTCAGCTGCGCAGGATTGCGTTCTCTGGCCTGCTCTTCGTTTGTTTTAGTTCTGGAAAGTTGGGACATTTAACAGGGCTTTAATATAATGTGCTTATTTCCTTTCCTTTATTTTTATTTTTATTTTTTATTTTCAGGCAGGGCCTCACTGTGTAGACAGGCTGTCCTTGAACTCACTATGTAGACCAAGCTGGCCTCCAGCTCAGATCCTCCCCACTCTGCCTCCCTAGTGTTTGGATTAAAGGTACACACCACTCAGCTCCTTTTCTCTCCTCCCACCCCGTGTGTGTGTGTGTGTGTGTGTGTGTGTGTGTGTGTGTGTGTGTGTGTGTGTGTGTGGTGGTGCTGAGGATGGAGCCCAGGGCCTTATGTATGTCTGCCAGACAAGCACTGTAGCCCTGAGCCACGCCTCCCCCAGACAGATGGTTCCCTTTCTCTGTGTGGCACAGGCTTGGCGCTCACTCCCATCAGCAGCTGCCAGTTTTGGATCCAGGCCTTGAGACCATTTGGCTTCCCAAACTTTGGAAGAATTTAGAGCATCTCACCCAACAAAACGCTCACCCAAACGAAAGCTTACGCCACTCGTGAGATTTCCAGACAGGTTCCCAGAGTGATCGGACAGGGAGTGTGCATTCTGGAGACAGGGAGGGCGGTCTAGACTTCAGGGCCGTCTTGAGTACATTGACGGGCCTGGAGGGGAAGCCTAGGTCATCCCGATGACCCAGATACCGCGTGACCTCAGCGTGGCTATGGCCGCCATGCTATATAGTAATAACTCATATCTACTGTGTTTGTGCAGTCCCTCCAGTGCTGGTAGATACTTCTAGAAGCAACTTGGAGATAACATTTAAGAAGCTTCCCAGTGCTCTTATCATCTCTTCTGGAAGTTTCCTCTAGTGGGCTGTTACAGCCCACCACGAAATGCTTGGGGGGAGGTGGAAAGCAACTTGAATGTTCAGACTCTGCAAGAGCAGGCAGAGATGTGTGCTGCCAAGTCCGATCGATGGCCTGAGTTCGATCCTTGGAACCCACATTGTAGAAGATGAGAAGTGACCTGTGCAAGCTTTCCTCTGACCTCATGCACACAGGCACGCGCGCGCATAAGCACCGGCATGCACATGCACGCACGCACACACACACACACACACACACACACACACACACACACACACACACACACAATTAAGTGAAAACTTTTTAAAAGAAGAAAGAAAACCACCAAGGTGGGCTGTGAGCCTAGTGGATGTTCTTAGTCTACCACCATTAAATCAGGCTGTCACTCAGACTTCAGGGCAGCTGGGGGAAACTGATGAGTAACGCTGAGGCCAAATCAGGCAAGGATGAAGACAGATGAGAAACAGTCGCTTTCCTGGCTGAGTCATCTTGTTTATTTGTTTTGAGACAGGGTCTCACCATACAATCACAGCTGCCTTGGAATCACTAAGTAGACCAGGCTGGCCTTGAACTCATAGCGATCCAACCTGCCTCTGCCTCCCGAGTGCCGTGCATCTTGTTTTTACAAGAAAGATGGATGTGGTGGCACTTGCCTATAACCCGACACTTCGAAGGCCGAGGAGGCAGGGGGATTGCAGAAAGTTGGAAGACAGCTACACAGGGCTGGTCACCTGAGATCCATCCCATGTAAAAAAGCCAGATACAACAGTGCCATGTGTTTGTAATCTCTGCTCTGCTACGGCAAGATAGAGGGAGGTGGAGACAGGTGAATTGACTGAAAGCCCCCAGGCTACCCTGGTACGCAACATGGTAGAGATAAGACAGGTCTTGCCTCCAAACAAGGTGGAAAGAGAGAGCCAACCCTGACCTGCTGTGGGTGTGCAGGCGCGTGCGTACACGCGCACGCATGCACACACACACACACACACACACACACACACACACACACACACACACAATCGTCAACGTCATCCTCACAGAGGATAGCTTAGACCTGGGAGGCACAGGCAGAGGCCCCCCTTGAGCTTCTTCCTGCCTTCCTGCCTCCCAAGCTGCTTCTTTGACGGGTCTGCTTTTAACCCTTTGCTCCCTGGACAGGCTCCTCTGAGTCCTGGACCCCTGGCCAGCCTGAACTCCACCCTCCCTAGAGCAGTCTACAGTGACGGTGCCCAGGGATGGTGCTGCTGACTGGCTCTGTTCTGGCTGTGGGGGATGTGTGAGAGGGACGTGTTTCAAAATCCCCCTGAGGTACATGGAGGAGTGTCCAGAGATGACTGCAGATATCTGCCACCCGAAGAGCTGAGGCTCCTGGTCCCCTATGTGTTCTGTGTGCCTGATTCATCTAGAGATCTTTTGTTTTGTTGTTGTTGTTGTTTTGTTTTGTTTTTTTTGAGGCAGGGGTTCTCTGTGTAGCTTTGGAGCCTGTCCTGGAACTCACTCTGTAGCCCAGGCTGGTAGAAATCATTTTTAAAAAGCCAGGCCTGATGGCACATGCTTGTAATATCAGCAGTAAGGAAGTAGAACCAGGAGGATTGGCACCTGGGCAGCCTGGTCTACAGAGTGAGTTCCAGGATAGCTAGGACCAAAAAAAAAAAAAAACCAAAAAGACATGGTGGCACATGCTTAATCCCAGCACTTAAGAGGCAGAGGGAGGCAAATTTTGGAGTTTGAGGCCAGCCTGGTCTACAGAGCAAGTTCCAGGACAGCCAGGGCTACACAGAGAAACCTTGTCTAGAAAAACAAACAAACAAAACCAACAAAACAAATAGAATCCCCCAGTGAGGGGCTGGGGTGTGGCTCAGTGGTAGAGCACCTGCCTAGAATCCCCCAGTGAGGGGCTGGGGTGTGGCTCAGTGGTAGAGCACCTGCCTAGGATCCCCCAGTGAGGGGCTGGGGTGTGGCTCAGCACTACAACCCTTGCCTAGAATGCCCAGCCCACCCTACTATCCCCCACTGATGGCCATGGGGGGGTGCATCTGGCAGGCCACCTGACCCACCCCTATTGTGCCCACAGGTAGCCATGGTGGAGGTGCAGCTGGAGACGCAGTACCAGTACCCACAGCCCCTGCTCATCGCCTTCAGCGCCTGCACCACGGTGCTGGTGGCTGTGCACCTGTTCGCTCTGCTCATCAGCACGTGCATCCTGCCCAACGTGGAAGCCGTGAGCAACATCCACAACCTCAACTCCATCAGTGAGTCCCCACACGAGCGCATGCACCCTTACATTGAGCTTGCTTGGGGCTTCTCAACAGTCCTGGGCATCCTGCTCTTCCTGGCAGAGGTGGTACTGCTCTGCTGGATCAAGTTCCTCCCAGTGGATGCCTGGGCCCAGCCGGGCTCCGGTAGGTACACAGGCTGGCAGGCCGCGCTGGTGTCCACCATCATCATGGTACCTGTGGGCCTCATCTTCGTGGTCTTCACTATTCACTTCTACCGTTCCCTGGTGCGGCATAAGACCGAACGCCACAACCGTGAGATCGAGGAGTTGCACAAGCTCAAAGTGCAGCTGGATGGGCATGAGAGAAGCCTACAGGTGGTGTGAGCGAGGCCTGCACGGTGGTTGGCACAGCCTGCAGGAGAGTGACCCTCAGGCGGTGTGAGCCACCACGCTGCTGGTGGGAGTAGCCAAGGGGCTGCCAGACCAACCCTGGCTTCATGAGAACCACTCCGGCGTCCCAAGAGCCACAGTGGGGATTGCTAAGCAGACATCACAGAAGCTGCCCGCCCGATGCTTCCATACTCCTCAGAGGAAAAGAGTCTAAAGGAGTGCGTATACCAACCATTATATCACAGAGGCCAGAGGAAGAACCATGATCACAAGGCCCTGGGGACTTCCTGGATCAGGGACAAGCTGGAAACACCTTGTCCTGGGAAGGGGTCCCAGCACAGTCATGGTCGATCTCAGACATCTGGACCTTGTGATTGGCAGGGCAGGACTGAATTCCCAAGGCTGGCTGGAGGGCTGGGGCTCCATTAGTCGCTTGCCTAGTGTGTGGGAAGCCCTGGGCTTTATCCCAGCACTACATAAACCAGGTGTGATCAACCCAGTTCTAGGGAGGCGGAGGAAGGAGGATCAGGAGTTCGAAGTCATCCTCCGCTACATGGTGAGTTTGAGGCTACGTGAGACACTGTCGAACACACGCGCATGCATGCCCGTGAAAACACACACACACACACACACACACACACACACACACACACACACACAAGAATAGGCTTCCAGATAGGGCAGCGATGGACCCAGGGCTGGCACAAGGGTACCATGGCTCGTAACGACAGACAGGGATGTGGTGACTGATGTACAGTTCAGCTTGACACTCTCCTCCAACTCTGGAGAGTATCATGGGATGTTCAGGATCCTGGGGCACAGAGCGGCTCAACAAACGTAACATACTGTTATTGGAATCAGTGTTGCCTGGTCCTAGAGAGATGACCCAGTGTGGGAGGCCTGGCAGGGTTGAGGAGAAATGTCCTAGAGCCCACCACCACCACCAGCTCACTGAGGTCAGAGACTGTCACACACACACACACACACACACACACACACACACACACACACACACACACACACACACCATGCATCAGGCTCTCCCATTCAGAGGTGTCCACCTCTTAGCCACAAAATTGGCCCGAGCCAGCCACCCCTGTGGACTGTGTCAACACAATCTGGAGCACCATCTCAGAGACTGGCCAGCTCAGCTCCCTGCTGCCTGTGGCCCCTAGATGTTGTCAGAGGACAACCTGAAGGGACTTCCTATTTTAGCATAGCAGTGAGCCCGGCCTGGCCTGTGGACATAGGCAGATATTCCTTATGCTAAGCCCCATCCACTGCAGAGAAGAGGGGACCGCCCCACCCTGCCGCTGGTCCTGCCGGGACACTCAGTGCAGGTCCCTGCCGCCCCCGTGTTTGCACAGCTGTGCATGGGTTTGGCGTTGTCACCACGGGCGTCTGGCCGTCCAGCTGGTGGTGTCATCCATACCCTGCAGTACAGCAGCAGCTTGCGTGGGAACTGCCGGGACACCGTGTTTACCCATTTCTGCAGCGTTACCCAGAGAAGGCGTCCGTGTCTTCCTCTGGATGTAAATGGCCACTGGGCTCCTGCAAGTACCACTTCCGTTTCCTACAACGGCTCGTCTCTGGAGTCTCCATTTGGTGCTGTGGGATCCGGGAGGGCCCGTCTGCGGTTTCTGGAAATGGGTCACACTGTTGAGCGTAAACTTCAACACACGGGGCCCTGGGGAGCCTTGTGGAGAATCTTCCTTGTGAACTGTGACATCTTTGGGGAAGTAGGACATGGTGTCCTGTGAACCAAGAAAGTGCCCTCTGTCTTTCAAAGGTGTGTCCTTCAACACCCTTCCTCAAGACAGCTGTCTTGAGGCCCCTTGAGGTCTCAGACCTCTGTGCTCTCCTGGGGTCTTTGGAAAGACCAGCTTAGTTTGATTTGTTTGTTTTGCTGAAGAACGCTAGAATCATGGGTGGGCAAGATGGCACAGTGGGTAAAGGGGCTTGCCGCCAAGCCTGGAGACGTGAGTTCAGTCCCCATCCTCTGACCTACACACAGAAAAGTATAGTAAGAAACATAATTGAATATTAGAATCACTATAAGATGGGACATGTGTCCCAGCACGGAAAAGACAAGATGGTCTTTTGGAATGAGCATCTCCCACTGCTGGGCACCATTGGAAACACCGTGTTGAAGGCCGAGGATGTAGCTCAGTTTGTAGTTGTGTTTGCCTGGCATACGTGAAGCCCCGGTTTGATCTCAAGCCACATAAACCAAACATGGCAGGGTACATCTGTAATCCCAGCATTCAGGAGGTTAAGGCTGGAGGGTCAGGAGTTCAAGGCCAGCCTAGACTGGTCAGACTCCATATCAAAAAGTTGGGAGCGGGGAGAAAGGGGAGCCTGCAGATGGCTCAGTGGTTAGGAACACCTACTGCTCTTGCAGAGGACCAGAGTTCAGTTCCCAGCATGCACATAGGGCAGCTCACAACTGCCTGTAACTCAAATTCCAGAGGATCCAGTGCAGATCCCTCTTCTGGCCTCTGCAGGCACCCATATGTGTACACATACACACATACAAAATAAAAAGAGGGGGTTCCTGTTGGACATTGGGTCCGTTCTTTCCGCCCATTTTCTGAGACCATTTAGTGCCTCAGCTCTTGGAATGCCCGGCACTTAACACTCTGTGTAAGTCCTGTAATTCCTCAGGCTCTCCCCGCGTTTAGTCTTCCCAGTGCCAAAGCATGGGACAGCCATCGGTGTGTAAACAGGTGACGGCATGGGACGGCCATTGGTGTGTGAACAGAGGTGACTGCCCATGGGGTCCCCGGCGGGCAGGAGTCGCAGGGCCGTCCCGGAGCTTTGTTAGGAGTTGGAGGACAAACCCTCACTGTGCACAGGGACAGAAGCCAGTGGGCAGGCTGAGGGCTGCAGGTTGGCTTTCTGGAGGCATAACCTGATTTCAAATCTCGTTCTAACCAGTCACGTGGCTAGAACCACAGTGGGCCCCCTGGGGCCTGCACAGGCTTGCCCTAATTTCATCTATCCAAGATGCAGTCCTTCCTGGTGCTCAAGGGACCAGAGTCCTCAGACACACCATGACCCTTCCCAACACAGCATACGGTCTCCCTGTACCCTTGACCGCAAAGTCTCCAAGTTCAAGCGTTTCTAGTTAAGAAACTTCAAAGGCAGGACGTGATTAGTGTCTTCCAGGAAGGTCTACTGAGAACAAACTACAGGAGCCCGGAGGGCTCAAGACTCACTCTGTGTCACTCTATCTGCAGGGCATTGTAGCTAACGCCTGTCCTGTGTGGGGATTTTTTAGCAGTTGCTCTGGACTGAACTGAATAAATGGATAAAGCTTTTCAAAACCCTGTGCTTTTGAGAAGTATGTTCAGGGGGTCCATCCCAGTGCCTTGCTACACCGCTGACCCTCAGTCCTGGCATGAGAGCTCTTTACCTGGGGTCTATGCATCACTTTTTTTTTTTCTCTCCCCAAGACAGTGTTTCACTGTGTAGCTTTGGAGACTTTCATGGAAATCGCTCTGTAGACCAGGCTGGTTTTGAACTCACAGAGATCCACCTGCCTCTGCCTCCTGAGTGCTGGGATGATTAAAGATGTGCGCCACCACCGCCCGGCCTATGAATCGTCTTTTATTGCTGGGCATGCTCAGGGGCAGGGTGAGCATGGGGCCTTCTAGGATGGGCAGGCGGGCTGCTGGGACCCAGGCATACATTGAGTGAGGTCCCTGTCAACTGGACCCCTGAGAGTACTTGGCAGTGGTACCTTTTCCTCACTTCCTTTCTGAAGCGGGAGGGGAGGCAGGCCCCATGTGGGTGGCTGAGCTCACCAGAACCCATCTGGACAAGGTCAGCTAGATTTCACAGGCTTCTAGAAGAGGAGCCCCTGAGGTGTTGGTCCCTTGGGTCCCTATGGCTCTGGAGCCACTACCCAGGTCACCCACAGGGATTACCAACCAACAAGACACTCTGTCTGGAGAAGTTGTCCAGACACAGAGGTCCTTCCTAGGAAAGATTTTTTTCTTTTTGGTGTGTGTGTGTGTGTGTGTGTGTGTGTGTGTGTGTGTGTGTGCACGCTTGCATGTATACCTGCTGTGGAAGCCAGAGGTTAACTTCAGGTGCCTCCTTGGATATTATCTTTGGTTGAGACATAGTGTCTGACTTGACTGGGAACTTGGCAGTTAGCTGTGGTGATACATTGTGTATGCTAATAAACTTGCCTGAAGATCAGAGAATAGAGCCAGCCACTAGGCATCAGGCACGGCTGGGGAGAATCGTTTTATTACATATGCGAGGGGCCACATAGGTAATAACTCATTCAAGCCTCCATCCTCAGGGCTCCACCACATACAAGACAATCTTTTATAGATCAGCCATACCCCAGCCCCTCACTGGGGGATTCTAGGCAGGTGCTCTACCATTGAGCCACACCCCAGCCCCTCACTGGGGGATTCTAGGCAGGTGCTCTACCACTGAGCCACACCCCAGCCCCTCATCATACTCTGTATCAGAGGATGCAGGGGCAGCAGTCATGGTAGTCTGGAAGCCTGTTCACTCTGTTGGGCCCTAGGCTCACTGAATCGGTAGGGAACCAAGCTGCCTCTCACAGGGCCTTTTCAAAGCTCTCTTCAGGCATGGCCGGTGACTTAGCCCCTGGTACAGACTTCCTAGATAGTCCCCAACTCTCAGCTAGTTCTCAGGTATCAGAAAGAACAGAGCTATTGGGACTGAAGAGATGGCTCCGTGGTTAAGAGAACTGGCTGCCCTTCCAGAGGAGCCAGGGTTTGATTCCCAGTACCCACAAGGAGGCTCACAAAACTCTGTAACTCCAGGTCCAGGGAATCCAATGCCCTCTTCTGGGCCCTGTGGGTCATGCACACATATGGTACAGAGACAATATATGCATGCAAAAAACACATAAAATATGATAACTTCTAAAATAAAAATAAGAATTAAAACAGAGGCTGGGAGTTGAGCTCAGTCAGTAAAGAACTTGGCCTACAAGCATGAAGACCTGCATTCAATTGCCAGAGCCCAGAGCTGGATACCGGGGGTGGGGGTGGGGGGTGGAACCCCAGAGCTGGGGACCAGGAGACAGGCGGGTTCCTGTGCTCATGCCGGCCAGCTCAGCCTACCTGGAAAGTTCCAGGCAAATGAGAGACCCTGTTTTACAAACAAAATGCATGGTACCTGAACAATGGTAGGGCTATTGGATGGCTCAGATGGCGGAGGTCTTTGCTGCCAAGGTTAATGACCCGAGTTCAAGCCCCAGAACCAACACAAGGAAAGGAGAAAACTGACTCCCTCAAACAGTCCTCTGACCCTGTGCATACCACATACACACACACCACGATAAATAAATGAATGTAGCCGGATGGTGGTGGTACACACCTCTAATGCCAGTGCTCGGGAGGCAGAGGCAGGTGGATCTCCAAGTTCAAGGTCAGCCTGGTCTACAGAGTGAACTCCAAGACAGCCAGAGCTACACAGGGAAACCCTGTCTCAAAAAACCCAAAATAATAATAATGTAATAAAGAACCAGAGTTGTTGACCTCTAGCCTCCAGATACTCACACACAGCTAATGCAGGTGTACCCACATACATGTGGCAACCTGTACAATGCCCCCAAATTTGGTATCATAAAAACAAACCAACCCAGGGCTGAGTGTGACCCTTTCCTGGGGGTGCAGGACGGTGTGTTCTGTCTCCAAAGCCTCAGGATAGAGGACTGTCATGCAGGCCAGCCACACACCCCCATCATCCACCTTGGCCCGTCTGCCCTCCCTCCTCCATAGAAGTTCTATGGCTGAGCAGAGTGTGCCCTGCTCTGCAACTTCTTCTTCTTCTTCTTTCTTTCTTTCTTTTTTTTTTTTTTTTGGTTTTTAGTTTTTGGTTTCTCTGTTCAGCCCTGGCTGTCCTGGAACTCACTATGTAGACCAGGCTGGTTTAGAACTCCGAGATCTGCCTGTCTCTGCCTCCCAAGTGCTGGGATTAAAGTGTGCATCCCCCCCCAATTGCCCTACTCCTATAAATAAATAAATAAATAAATAAATAAATAAATAAATAAATAAATAAATAAGTAAGTAAATAAATGTAATTAAAACGAATAAGTTTGATCCCTGGGACCTGCATGGTCAAATTTGAGGGTTTGAGGCTAGCCTGGGCTACAAATGGAGAGTTTATCTCAAAAAAAAGGAAAAAGGGTTGGGCGTGGTGGAATGGTGCCTACCTTTAATCCCAGCACTTACACAGAGGCAGAAGAACCTCTGAGTTCATGGCCAGCCTGGTCTATAAAGTTCCAAACCAGCCAGGACTACACAGTGAGACCCTGTCTTAAAACAAAACATATAACTGCAACCCCTTCACACAGAGCTGGGGAAAGGAGAAAACCATCTCACACGGGATCAGGGTTTTCTTTTTTCTCCTTTATTATAAATTTTATCGGAGAGGTAATGCGTATGTGGAGGTCAGAGGACAACCTGCAGGAGTCGGCTCCCTCCCTCCACCATGGAGATTCCAAAGACTCAAGCAGGCGGCCAGGCTTGGTGGCAAGCGCCTTTACCCACTCAGCCATCGTGCTTCTCCCAAATACCAAGGCTTTTTAAAGACTGAATCCCTCCAAACTATGACAAACTGAATAACCCAAAGAGCAGCCAAGATCCAGGTCCGTTAGAACCAGCTCTGGGCAGGGTATGTAATGTTCATGGCATCAGGGGTCACATGGCTCCTCAGAAAACCTAGTCACTGGGCTGTCATCCCAGTACTTGAGAGGCTGAGGAAGGAGGATGGATGGCGAGTTCAAAGCCAGGCTGCATCGTGAGTTCCAGGGCCATCTGGTCCACATGAGACCTTGTCTCAAAAACCCCAAAAGAGTCGGTAGTTGGCCGAGCACTTGCTTAGCAAGCAGGAAGCCCTGGGTTCCATCCCAGTACCTAAAAAAGAAACCTGAGCCAAATCCCAGCATTCAGGAGGTAGAGGCATGAGGATCAGGAGTTCAAAGTCATCCTTGGCTATATAGGGAGCTCAAGGCCAGTCTAGGCCGGACAGTGGTGGCACACGCCTTTAATCCCAGCACTTGGGAGGCAGAGGCAGGCAGATGTCTCTGAGTTCGAGGCTAAGCCTGGTCTACAGAGGAGATCCAGGACAGGCAACCAATGAATCTAATGAGTTGTGGAGAGACCTCAGGGCTCGCTCCCCCGATGGTCGTGCTGGAGCCATGTTTCCAGCCAGGCCAGCGCCAGCTCTTGTGCCCAGGGATGTGCTCACACGGGCCTTCCCTGGAAGGAGAGTGCGGCCTGCAGCAGCTCCTGCCCCAGTTCCTGCTGCTTCCCTCCAGGCAGGAACTCACTGGACAGCTCTCTGAAGGTGGCGCAGACCCGACGGGCCTGGATGTGTCTGCGGTGGATGGCGTGTGTCCACTGGTGCCGCGCGGCTCCTGTGAGCACCAGCAGGGAGCGGCAGGGTACCGAGATGGCCACTTCCACCTCCTGGCAGGGGACAGACCTGCCTTCCAAAGCATCCGGTCCGATGGAGGGGGCCGAGCTGAGCAGCAGGCTGCCGGGGGCCTCCCGGGACATGGACACCACAGTGGCCGACAGGAGGTTGAGGCTCACCAGCCGCTGGCCCCACAGCCAGGCGTCATCCAGGTGGGGGTCGATGGCCGAACCCCGCTCTGGGCTGTAGTCCAGATTACACTGTTCCACAGGCCGGAAGTCCTCCAGCCCCGGGTAGAGGCCCATTCTCTGGACCACCTTCTGGCTGAAGCTGGGGAGACCCTGGAAGCTCGCCATCTTTAGCTTCTGCTTCCGAAAATTGACTTTTGGGCCATAGTCCTGGAGTGGAGACAGGAAGGAACGGAGAAGGGGCTCAGCTTAAGAAATGTCAACTGCTGGCCGGGCGGTGGTGGCGCACGCCTTTAATCCCAGCACTCGGGAGGCAGAGCCAGGTGGATCTCTGTGAGTTCGAGGCCAGCCTGGGCTACCAAGCGAGTCCCAGGAAAGGCGCAAAGCTACACAGAGAAACCCTGTCTCGAAAAACGAAAAAAAAAAAAAAAAAAAAAAAAGAAATGTCAACTGCTGCCAGATGGTGGTGGCGCACGCCTTTAATCCCAGCACTCGGGAGGCGGAGGCAGGCAGATCTCTGTGAGTTCGAGGCCAGCCTGGTCTACAGAGTGAGATCCAGGACAGGTACCAAACAGCAGAGAAACCCTGTCTCGAAAAACCAAAAAAAAAAGAAAAGAAAAGAAAAGAAATACCAACCATAGCAAGGCGGTGGTGGCACACGCCTTTAATCCCAGCACTCAGGAGGCAGAGGCAGGCGGATCTCTGAGTTCGAGGCCAGCCTCGTCTCTAGAGGGAGTTCCAGGAGAGGTTCCAAAGTTACACAGAGAAACCCTGTCTTGAAAAACTGGAAAAGAGAAAAGAAATGCCAACCACAACCAGGGTGTGGCTGGTGGGTGCATGTAATTCCAGCACCTCAGAAGTTCAGGTAGGAAAACTGTCTAGAGTTCAAGGCCAGCTGGGCTACAGAGTGAGACCTGGTCTTGAAGGACAGAGAAAAAAAAAAAAAAGCCAGTGTAGCAGTGCCTACAATCCCAGCATTGTGAAGTGGAGGCAGGGGGATCAGAAGTTCACCTACACAGCAAGTTTAGGAACAGCTTGGGCTCTAGGGGACCGTATTGGGGGAGGGGCCTCTTGGAGGGAGAAGGGACAGGTTCGGTTCAAGGTCCCCACGGAAGGAAGCCGTACAGTCTGTCCTGAGGGTCGGGGGCAGAGTGGGCACCTGGACCAGCACAGGGAGAAACTTGAAGGGCCCTCCAGGCGGCTGCCATCTCCGGCGCTCTAACCAAACACTCCGATGTCAGGAACGAAGGGTGCAGGGTGCCTCCGAAGCTGCTTGAGGAACTGACTCAATTGTGGAAGTTGGGTGAGGGGGAGCTAGTGAGGAAGGGGAGGAACAGGAGGAGGGGTACCCGGCCCCTAAGGGCCTATCAGGAGCCCTGACACAGAAGGGTGAGGGGATCAGGGATGCGAGGAGACAGGTGGTGGCTGGGGGTAGCCATGCGGGATGGAGATCCCTGTCTAGAACTTACCATCATCTCCCAGCCAAGGAGACAGCTGTGGGGACGGTGGCGGCCCTGCTGGATGAGGAAGCCCACGCCCCCGTGACTGGCCACCCATTCCCTACCAAAGACTGTGGTGATATATTGTGTACTCCAATAAAGCTTACCTAGGGATCAGAGGACAGAGCCAGCCACTACATTAGACATAGAGGCCAGACCGTGGTGGCACACACCCTTAATCCTATCACTCGGGAGGCAGAGATCCCTCCGGATCTCTGTGAGTTCAAGGCCACACTGCAAACAGCCAGGCAGTGGTGGCACACGCCTTTAATCCCAGGAAGTGACGCAGGGCGGAGAAAGGTATATAAGGACACAGGAACTAAGGCGGTTCAGCGGAGACCCTTTCGGGTGAGGACTCAGAGGCTTTCAGTCAGAGGATTCGTGGAGTTGGTGAGGTGATAGGTGGTGGCTGTGGCTGCTCTGCTTCCCTGATCTTTCAGCTTTCACCCCAACATCTGGCTCTGGGTTTTTTATTAAAAGAACATTTAACACACGAACAACGAAAGATCCCTAGGGTGTGGCTACGAGATAGCCAGGGGCCCCTGGCAAAGGGACTGTCCCCTGGGTCCGGCTAAGGCCACCATACCTGTTTCCTTCGCCCGGACTGAGAGAGCTTCCAAGGGTCACTGTCCATCAGACGCACCATCTCAGCCTCTTCCTCCGGGGTCACAAAGTCCGTTATCAATGTCACTCCCGGGAAGGGGAAGGCCCAACCCTCCAAGTCAGAGTCCTTGGGCCCCATGGCCCAGCCTGTGTCCGGGCAGTAACGGAAACAGTATTTTTTCTGTAAAAGACAGAGACGGGATGGTGTGATGGGTCAGGGCGTGAAGGGCTTACTTTGCAAGCACAAGGACCCGAGTTTGATTCCCCCGAAACCCACGTGAAAAAAGCTAGGTGTGGTCATGCACGCTTGCAATCCCAGAGGGGTGGGGGAGGCAGAGATGAGATCAAAGACAAGCTAGCCTGGACTACTTGGCAAGTTCTAGGCTAGTCAGAGACCCTGTCTCAAAAAACAAGTTGGGGGGGCTGGAGAGATGGCTCAGCGGTTAAGAGCACTGGCTGCTCTTCCAGAGGACCCAGGTTCAATGCCCAGCACCTACATGGTGGCTCACAACCGTTTGTAACTCCAGTTCCAGGGGATTTGACACCTTTACACGGGCATGCGTTCAGACAAAACACTGATGCACATAAAATAAAATAAATTATTAAAAAAAACGAGTTGGGTGTTGAGGTGGTTCTCTGGCCTCCATGTGTTGTACACATATACCTGTGCACACATACCCAAAACAGAAGCATCTGGAACCACCAAAGAGCCACAATACCCACACATGCCTTAGGCCACCAGGATCTTCTGACCTCGGGTGCCAACGCTCTTGTTGGGAATGAAGCCACCTGGAGAGATGTCTGGAATCCTACCACTGAGCCACACCACCAGCCCCTCACTGGGAGATTCTAGGCAGGAGCTCTACCACTGAGCCACACCCCAGCCCCTCACTGGGGGAATTCTAGGCAGGTGCTCTATCACTGAGCCACACCCCAGCCCCTCACTGGGGGATTCTAGGCAGGTGCTCTACCACTGAGCCACACCCCAGCCCCTCACTGGGGGATCCTAGGCAGGGGCTCTACCACTGAGCCACACCCCAGCCCCTCACTGGGGGATTCTAGGTAAGCACTCCACCACTGAGCCACACCCCCAGCCAGTGATTAGCTTCTTTCATTTAGCATCATATCCTCAAGGTTAATCCATGTGTAATTATGTCAGAATTTCCTTCCTTTGTAATGTTATAAAATAACCTACTGTATAGATATCCCTTTTTTTTTTTTTAATTCATTCATCAGTTTATTGTGTGTCTGTCTTTCCTTTGAGACACGGTCCTACTTAGCTTAGTCTGGTTTTAAACTTGCTATGTAGCTGCGGTTATCTTTGAACTCCCAAGTCTCCGGCTTCTAGCTGCCAGCTCCCCGGTTCTGAGATCACAACAGGCCAGCACCACACTGCCCATTCTTCAAGTCACCAGTTAGTAAACACTTGGGCCTGGCGGTCATGGTGGCACACTCCTTTAATTCTAGCACTTGGGAGGCAGAGCCAGGTGGATCTCTGTGAGTTCGAGGCCAGCCTGGTCTACAGAGCAAGATCCAGGATAGGCACCAAAACTACACAGTGGAACACTGTCTTGAAGAAAAACAAAACAAAACAAACAAACAAACAAAAAACAACAGAAAACAAACAAACAAAAAAACCCCACTTAGGTAGTGTCCACCCTTTGGTTGCTGTGAATACTGCTATGAGCCAGACATGGTGACACCTGCCGGTAATCTTAGCATTTGGAAACAGGGTGGAGGGCACCTGGACCTCTAACCAAAGAAAGAAACTAAAACAAAAAACTTTCTTTTGCATATAAACCAGGTAAATGTTGGATCATGTGATCAGTCTATTCATGAGGCATTCCACACCTTTTTCACAAGATGTTGGGCATGTTAGCACCAACAGAGAGACTCCCCCACTGGCTTTCCAGCTTCCTTGTTCAAGGATCCTTCTAAAACTTGAATTTAAAGGAGTTCTTTTAAAACCCTTCAGGGCCGGGCAGTGGTGGCACACGCCTTTGATCCCAGCACTCTGGAGGCAGAGGCAGGCGGATCTCTGTGAGTTCCAGGCCAGCCTGGTCTACAGAGTGAGTTCCAGGACAGCCAGGGCTACACAGAGAAACCCTGTCTCGAAAAACCAACCAACCAAAGAAAAACCCCAAACCCAGAACATACCCACCCCAAGTATTAAGTCCAAGTTTGTCGCCACTCCCCACTTAAAGTCACAGAGGTGATGTGTCATAGCGGCTTCCCTACTTCGAAGACCACTCCTCAAACTTGCTGAGTGGCCGAGATTGGCTACAAACTTCTGAGTCTCCCGCCTCTTTGCATTTCAAATGCAGGAATCCCGACCTGCAACAGCACCTCCTCGTTCAACCATTCATTTTTCAGATGGCACTTAGGAACCGTCCGCCTCTAGATTACTGTGAATAACAAAGCTACGAGCGCTCCATGAAACTCCCCTACCGCGACGCTCTGATCCCCGCCCGTTTCACAGGCAAGCTTGGGCCTCAGTTTCCCATTTAAGATGGATAGATTTTCTGGGTTTGACTCTTTTTCCATCTCGTACCTGAAGGGAGAGCTGCCAAGGCGGGGACCCGTGGCGCTGTCTCTCGCAAATAAGACAGGTCCGGATGCCCTTGCAGCCGCAAACCTGCAAATGAGTGGTTTCAGCCGCCGCAGCCGCGGCCGCGGTAGCCGCCATAGCACCTTCGAAGCAGCCAGAGCGCAGGCGCGAGGCACGGGGGCCGCTGGGAGTTGTAGTCCCGGCACGCAGAGGCAGGAGGCCGGGCGCGCGGCAGGCGTTGTGCTTCCTTCCGGTCGCCACGGACTCTAAAAGGGTTTGCTGTGCGCCATCTCCTGGGCTCCGCGGCTGCGGGCGGGCGTTAGTGACCGGACTTCGTGGAGGCGCGGGTTCGGCTGAACCCTCGGACACCCATGGCTCCCCTCACTCAGCGGCTGCTCTTTCAACGCGGGCGACCCAAGACCAACAGTCTGGGGAAGATCCGGAGTCTGGAGTAAGAGCTGGCGGGGTTGAAGCGGATCCCGGGCGCGGGGTCCTGCGGGGTCCTTTCCCTTCCCGGGTCGCCTGGTGGGCGGGGTCCATGGCTCAGACCCCTCCCCATCCCCGCCTGTCCAGGTGACTCTGTTAGCGGGGATTCGGGCGCCGGTGGAGCCTGTGTATCTCGCGCCTAACGGAGATGCGGGAGATACGGGCAGGAGTCAGGTGGACCTGGGTCGGGCTCCCTTAGCCCTGCGGAGGGCGGAAAGACTGTAGAGCACTCACTGGGATGTTGAGGAAGCCCGGGGAGCACGGAAGGAGCCTGCAGGAACGAGGAAAAGCATTCAAGAGGGAACTTGGAGGCCTTGGGTTCTAAAGTCGTTAGGAGATCTAGCACTCGAGGACCCGTCGCAAGACAAACGTCGGGCGTTGGAAACTAGCCAGAGCTACAGGACCCTGTCTCAAAAAGACATTTTTTTTTGGTTTTTCGAGACAGGGTCCCTCTGTGTAACAGCCCTGGTTGTCCTGGAACTCGCTTTGTAAACCAGGCTGGCCTCAAACTCACAGCCATCCATCTGCCTCTGCCTCCCAAGTGCTGGGATTAAAGGTGTGCACTACCATGCCCACTAACAAAAGATTCTTCAAAGGAGGGAAGTCGGGCCAGAGAAATGACCCCTCAGGTAATGGTGCCTGTCACCATGCCTGAGTTCAATCTCTTGGACCCAGACGGTTGAAGGAGAGAACCAGTTCCCTAGATCCGACCTTCTCACCCACACCTTGGACTGTGGCCATCCATACACACACACCATACACGCCACACATGCACAGACACACTATAATAAATAAAAATGTAATTTTAAAAATGGGGGAGGCTAGAGCTGCAGATGTAGTTCAGTTCGTAAGGTGCTTGTCCGACATGCACAAAGCCGGAGTCTCCATAGGGTTCCATCCCTGTCACCACCTGAACTGCTCCCGAGTGGTGGCACACGCCTGTCATCCCAACACTTGGAGATAAGAGGCAGGAGAGTAAGTTCAAGGCTTTCCTGGCCTGCACAGTGAGCTGTGGATTGATTGGATCTCTTGAGTTTTGAGGCCAGCCTACTCTACGTGGTGAGTTCCAGGCTAGCCAAGTCTAAAGGTAAGCCCACGCTTACTCTTCACCATAAGAAGAGCTGGGTGCAAACCCCTCTGGGGCAGATGGGGGTTAGTGAAAGGGTCTGGCCAGCCTCCTGAGCTTTCTTGATCTCTGCCCCCCTCCCCACAGTCTCTCAGGGCTGGAGCTGCAGTCAGAGCACTTGGACCCCAGTCTCCTGGGGCGCCTGAAGCAGCTGAAGGAACTGGACCTCTCCAACAACCTGCTGGAGACGCTGCCTGCCAACCTGGGCCTGTCACATCTGCGCATCCTTCGCTGCGCCAACAACCAGCTGGGGGACGTCACTGCCTTGCACCAGTTTCCGGACCTCGAGGAGCTCAGCCTGGAAGGCAACCCCTTCCTGACGGTGAGAGGGAGGTCCGGCCAGCTCCATGGGGCAGACTCAGGCTTCGCTATTTCTTTTGGGTTTTGTTTTGTTTGAGATGGGGTCTCATGTAGCCCAGGCTGGTTTCAAACTAACTGTGTAGCCAAGGATAGCCTTGAGCTTCTGATTCTCCTGCCTCTGACTTCCTGAGTTTTGGCCATGCTCCACCAGGCCTGGTTTATGTAGTACTGGGGATCAAACTCACGACTTTGTGCAGCCATGAAATCAGTCTCTCATCTGGGCTATGAACTCACTCTGTTTGGGTTTTTGTTGTTTTGCTAGTCTGAGACAAAGTTTTGCTTTGTATCCCAGACCAGTCTCCACCTCTGTGTATCCCAGGCTGGCATCAAACTTGCAACATCCTCCCATACTCACCCTGAATATTGGGAATACAGGCATGGGGCACTACTCCTGGTTTTCACCTATTCCTCCATCCTTTAGGTCAACGACAACCTGAAAGTCTCCTTTCTCCTGCCCAAGCTACGCAAGGTCAATGGCAAGGATGCGGCCTCCACCTGCTCACAGGTGGAAAACCTAAATCGGGAGCTGACCAACAGGGTGAGGACAGTGGGAAGTGGATGGAAGGGGGGTCCTTGGTCACGTCCGCAGGGTATTGAGGGGGGACAGAAGTGGATTTTCGGGGGTGTGTAACAGAGGTCTTACCCTGACAGCCTCAAGTCTGGTGTGTTGAGTTTGGATCTGTCGCTTCCTATGTTTGGAGGCCCTGTCTCCGAGGTGCACAGCAGGGAGGCTAGAACTTTGCAGTGAGCTGGTTTTTTAAGACAGGGTCTTGCTGCATAGCCCAGATGGCCTAGGACTCTTCTGCCCCCGCCTCCCAAGTGTTGGGACTCCCACTCTGCCCAGCTGAACCAGGCTGGTTTCAATTCATGTGACTTAGGTTATGCTAGTAGAGCGTAAGAGACTGTGCCTGCAGAAGCTTCCAGAAGCTAGGATAGCCAACACACCTTGTGCTCAGAAGGAGATAGGGTGGAGGTGCCGTGTATGGCCAGGAGACCCAGGCAGGGCCGGCCTGGATCTGGTCCCCCTTATTCCAGGTCACAGCTCACTGGGAGAAGTTCATGGCCACCGTGAGCCCTGAAGAGGAAGCTGACAAATTCCAAGCTGACTTCGTGAGGTCTGCCATCAGGGATGTGCATTATGGCCCTGAGTCTCTCAGCGAGTTCACCCAGTGGCGGGTATGTCACTGGCGAGGGGACAGTGTGCTGGGGGTTGGTGGCTTCCCTGGCTCTCGGTTGTCCTGGAGAAGTCTCTGGCTCTGATGGATTGGGGGACAGTGGGGAGTGAGATGGGTCAGGGAATGGTAGTCCTTGTGCCAGGGAGGCTCTTTTCCTCCTCTGAGAGGCACCGGCTCCCTGTGACCAGGTGTCAGGGGAGAGGCTAGGGGCACTGAGACTGTGCTCAGCTGAAGGCCTGGCCCCATCCAGGTGCGGATGATCGCCGAGAAACTGGTGGCCTCAGGTGGGGCCGAGGTACAGGAAGCCAATGTGCCAAAGGAGCCTCCACAGGCTGCAACTGTCTCCAAGCTCAGGGTGAGTGTGTTTGCACACGGCTGTGAGGGCCCCGGGCCTTTGTGAGCTAGAACACAGAGGGTCTTCTACGTGAACTCAGGTGATGCCCAGGTGTCTGCATCAGCCTTCCCTTGCTGTAGCAGCATACTGGAAGCAGTCAGCTTACAAGAAGGAAGGGGCAGTTTGTTTATGGGCTCAGTCCATAGTTGCTTGGCTCCAAGGCTGTCCATGTTGTGAGTTCACACAGCAAGGATGTCTGCATCTCACGGCAGCCAATGTCCCTTTCAAAGGGATGCCTCCCAGTGACCTACGTCCCTCCACCTACACTGTACTCCTGAGTAGCCCCATAGGCTGGTGACGCAGCTTTTTAACCTTTGGGTCCTTGGAGAACATTTCAAGTGTCCAGCCCTAACACAGGCCAAGTTCCCCAATGACAGTGGCTCAGTTCTTGCTTTCCATATTTTTTTTTAAAGATTTATTTATTTATTATGTATACAGCATATGTGGCTGCAGGCCAGAAGAGGGCACCAGATCTCATTACAGATGGTTGTGAGCCACCATGTGGTTGCTGGGAATTGAACTCAGGACCTCTGGAAGAACAGTCAGTGCTCTTAACCTCTGAGCCATCTCTCCAGCCCGCTTTCCATATTTTTGAGGGTGTAGTTCAGCCTGTAGCCAAGGGAGGAAGCCCCTGGGGCACGGACACAAGTCCCTACTTTCCACAGGCCAGAAAGGTGGCCTCAAAACGGCCAGATAATTTCCCACTAGACCTCCCTTCCACCAAGCGAGTGTGTTCCTCCCCACCGGCTCAGACAGAGAGCAGACCTGTGGACTTGGATGGAGGCCAGGTAAGCTCCCCACGTGGCAGGGGGAGAGTGCCCGAGGAAGCCGGCCCCGGGGCAGCTGTGACCACCTCTGCCCCCACAGGCTGCCTTGCACCTGGAGCCCCTGCACTTCCTGCAGTGTCACAGCAGAAACAACAGCCCTAAGGACCTGGAGACCCAGCTGTGGTGCTGCGCCTTCGAGCCAGCCCGGGAGGAGGGTGCGTGCTGGGCCCGAGGGAGGGGCGGTGGGAGGGGCGGTGGGGGGCTCGGGTCACACAGTGCTGCTCCTCAGTGCTCAGTGCTCAGTGGCAGCCAGAGATGAAAAGATACCTGGGAAATTCAATGAGATTGGTCTTGGGTAGAAAGAAAGGGCTGAAAGTAGGCGGTAGGCGCATGCCTTTAATCCCAGCATTCTGGAGACAGAGGCAGGAGGGTCTTTGTGAGTTCAAGGCCAGCTTGGTGTACAGAGCAAGTTCCAGGACAGCCAAAGCTATGCAGAGAAACCCTGTCTCGGAAAAAAAAAAGGGCTAGAGAGACGCTCCCTGGCTAAGAGTGCTTGCTGCTCTTGTAGAAGACTGAAGTTTGGTTCCTAGCATCTGCCATGGGCTGCTCACAACTGCCAGGAACACCAGCTCCAGGGAATTTGATGCCCTCTTCCGGCCTTTGTGGGCACCTGCACTTACGTGCACATACCCCCATATGAAACAGGTACATAACCACTTTTTTTTTTTTAAGGTAAAAAGGCCATGCATGTAGTATAGTGGTACAGTGCTTGCCTATCACGTGAGGTCCTGGTTCTCTCCCCTGTAACGCAAATAATAATAATAATAATAAGTGTCCTGGAGG